ATGTTAATTATTTTGGACATAGTGGCTTAGGTAAAAAAAGAATCTGAGGTAGCTATTTAAAACTAAACAAAAACCTGAGGACTTACTATTTTAATTCTACTTTTTAACGTTTTCTAATCGTAATGCAGAATAGTGATACAAGAAAATAAAATATTAATAATATTATTCTTAATAAACTTTAAAAAAAAAACAAATTTTAAGTCTTTCCCTTTGCATAACAAAAAAAACTTAATTCTTGAATAAAGTTTGTTAAACTACACGCATATAGATTTTTAAAATACAAATAGAACATACTTGTTTCTGTACTTAAAACTAAATTGTTATTGTTTTTGTACTAAACATTAAATCGAATTAATATTTTTCTGTACTTAAAATTACAATAAATTGTTTTTTTTTTTTTACCGGTAATGTTATTAAATAAAGAATATATAATCATCTAATAATTTGTTAAAAAGAAATACTCAATTTGAAAAAGTATTGAAGGCTTTTTAGAAAATATTTAATTTATTTGTAATTTTTAACCAGCGGCAAATTGTGATGCAAAAAGGCCAAAATCGCAGCCTTTTCTGGTTGAAGTCGATTTCTTTTTGTATCGTAGATACAACATATTTCCTGCCTCAGAAAAAAGTCTTCACTATACACAGAGCTGGCGGGGCTGCAAAGGAAAACTTTGGGTAAACGGGACATTTCTGGATATCTGGAAGAATTTTTGTTCCACCATTTGAATTTATCATCGGATAGGGATCGGCTCGGCCGATTAATCGGCCATTTCTTAACTGATTAATCGGATAATCGGCCAATCGACCAAAGTACTAATCGGTCCAACTCTAATTTTTATGGATATAGCGCAAACTTTTTCGATAAATCTTAACAATTGTACTATGTAGACAGCTTAGATTATCAAAGCTGTTTAATAACAGTTCGTTTTAAATAAAGTAAATTGTTAGTAAATTATTCTTAACTTTTTGCTCAGGCCGTATATATTTAACATGTCTACACAAAAGTTGTGGAACCCTTAAACTCACCTTGAAATTGTAAAACTCAATTAATTTTACGAAGGTCAGTAAAAAATAATTAAACAATTAAAAATTAACAATTTGGAGTTTAAAAATTCGAACATATTTCTCGAAATTTCTATTGATTCCAAACTCCAACGGGGAGCAGATATTGCTAAACTAGCTTCGAAATTAAAAATCTTCGCTTCGAAGGTCTACAAGAAGGACTAAAACTATTGTGCTCACCAGATGTCGCTTGTTGTGATTGAAGTTAAGTTATTTCTCACGTAGATGGTCACACAGTGTCATTAGCATAGAAAAATTGCGTTTTAATTATAAGGTGTAAAGTTTCTAGTGTACGTACATATATGTCGCAGGCAACTAGCTTAATCAGCCTTTCCGTTAACAGCCTAGCCTTTTAACTAAACGGCGCCGTTCAGCTAGCTGTCTAAATAATATTCAGCCGTAGCGTTGTTACAACATTTAATAAACTGGCTGACTAATGCTTAGGCCATTTGTACGATAGGGTAAAAAAGCGCCGTTCAACTAGCGGCCTGAATGATATTCAGTACATGGGGTCAGCCGATGCATCTAACACAACATTATTGCCAAATGATGCACTATGCGCTGTATTATATAAATGTATGCGGCTTTACGCTAACCTACTGCCGCTGATATTACAAGATAGTTGTAATGTTTTATTAGACGCAGCGGCTGAATATCATTCAGGCGCCTAGTTAAACATTAAAAGGCTAAGCTGTTAATTGAACGGCTAATTAAGGACAACAAAACACCATGAAATTTGTAATTTGCCGACGCCATAATAATATTTTGGATAGTTTCGGCGCTAGGTGGCAGAAAGTGGAACTAAATTGAAATGCTAGGCAAGTAATGAAAAGTCATAGATCCGAATCATTTGCCTAGCTGCAGAGCTTTGCAGAGGCCGCTAGTTGAACGGCGCTGTTTAGTAAAGAGGCTAGGCTGTTGATTGAACGGCTAATTAAGCTAGTTGGCTGCGACATGTGCGTAAAACAGTGGCGCAGTGAAAAGTTATTTAATTTTTTAAATATTTTAAACGTTTTTTTAATTCTTCTACTTTTTGAAATATCCGTAGTTTGGGTTATCTATTTTTAATCCAATTAATTAATTTATAATATTATAAATGGCTCAGGACCGCGTTTTGAGGCCTTCCTTAAAGGTGGTTTACGTTCAGAAGTAAACTTGTAAAGGACTGTAATGATGATGGTATAGGATGCTTTCTAGTGGGGCCATGCCATGGATGCGGTGGTGGTGGACTGCGGTGTAAGAGGAGGGTCGATATTGCGAGGTGCCGCTCCTCCTACTCTAAGCGGCTGAAACTTGGTTAGCAGCGGAGCCATAGACCAGATTCGCCGCTGGAATCAGAAAGGCTGATGCTTCCGAGAGCTTGACTTTCCTGGTCCCATGAACTCCATGTATAAGGCTAAGGAAGAAGCACTACGCAGGAGAGGTCGCAAAGGAAGACGCGCCTGGTGTTCTGACGCGCTTTACCTAAAAAGAAGAAGGGGAGAAATTGCATTCTTCCTAGGAGGGGCTGCCACGGGGCTGCCAGCGCTTGTGGCGCAATGGATGTGTGCGAGTGTTCTCGTGGGCTGCCAATATGCGACAAAGGTGAAACACCGTGGGATTTTAGTCGATGCGTGTCTGACATAAGCTGTCCTTGCCTCGCAAGGCGGGTATGCGTAGGAATTTCCTCGTGTAAAAAAGAGTTTGTAATTAATCATAGATATCCATAAAACATTTGTATAGACTAGATGACAATTATAAATTAATGCTGGCGAATATGTGTAATACATTTTAATCCTGTAATATTTTCTTGCAAATAATATAAAAAAAAAGAGCCATACACATATTATGGTTGTAGCACAAATAAATTGGCTCGACTGGAGGAGCACCACGCTCTCACAGAATATCAGCGTGAAATAGCAGTTAAATGCTGCTTTGTTTCTTATAATGAGTGTAGAGAACTCGAAGCCTTTTTACTGGAAACGCGATATTCCATCTTAGTTCTCAGAGGTGACAACGTATCGCATTTTGATTCTTAATCGACAGTAGGAGTAGATATGTTGTTATTACCTACATAACAAAGCTAGTGAACGCGAAACATTATCTTATCATTCTTGATGCTTGCGGCTTGCCTCGATAACGGGCATTAACGATAAAACATATTTAGTACAAATGACACAAGCTCACAATGTTGTTAAACACATTATAGTATTTTCATTTATTGACACTTACATGCACAAAGTAGAACATATGGCTTACTTAATGGCAAAGGATACTCCCTCCCAATCAATCATTGGGCCAAGTAGAGATAATAATAAAATAGGTGATGCGGCAAAAAAATATAAATACAAATATGTTATATATTTATAATTTTATACATATTTAAACTAATACCCGGAGCGTTGCTGCCGCAAAAGAAATAACTGTGGAAATATCGCTTTAAATTTGGAAGAGTTTTATTCTTTAATTAGGAATCATAATGTGAATACATTCATTGAAATTTAATGATACATAACTTTTTGTCGGTAGCCTATAACCTTCGCGCAAGTTCAAACGATAAGTTGACTTAGTTATACCGCGTATCTGATGAACGATATGGCAGTGCATATAATACAAAAAAAAAACAAACATAATTTTTTATATATTAGGTTAAAGTCTGGTTTCTGACGATGTTTGTGCTGTTAGCCTTTTATAGCTTCATAGGTCTCAGGACACGCGGCCTGAAAGGCCGCTAGCTGTAAAATAGAGGTAAATTCATATTATTCTGCATTGTTACTTGCGTAACGATGTTCACCTACGTCAGTTGAAAGTACACGTAAGTGAGTTATCTAACGGCCGTCCGAGCAGAGGGTGGCGGACCCTCGCTCTCGTGGCTAACTCGTATCGTCCGATGTTCTGGGCGGTGGTAACCGTCCCGGGACACGGGTGTTCGGTGTGTACGCGGTGTGGAGGGATATGCGGCACGCACGTCTGCGTACTTGTTGCGTCCCAACCGATGTCCTAAGTGTGTAGTGTTTGTGTGTGACTGGCCGGCTACATTTGATGGAGGTGGCAATGGCCGTGAGATGATATGTGGCGACAGTTTCACCCAAACGTTGGGTTTTAGCGCGGAACGATTTGCACCTTACTTGGTGACGGGGTACCCCAGTGACGGGGGCGAGCTTGGTGTTAGTCTGAGATGCGGTAGAGGGCATTGAGGATGGTGCGGGCTTAGGGACAGGCAGCCGAGATCGAGACACGCTGGCTTGGCCCACGCGTCTGGGACGGCTTTTAGCTCAGCACCGTTTCTTTCGTGGTGCTTTGGAACACCCACGATTGTTAGGGCAGCGATAGACAAATGACGCAGACTCAGCGGTGCCGTGGTCACCTAGGCACTTGACAGACAGATTTTGGCCAAGTGACTGTAAAGTGAGAGCTATGCAAACACGAGCTGAGATATGTACCAAGCTCCCCCGCCGTAATGTGTGTGTGTGTGTGTATAAACCTAGCGCGTTGGTACGCTGGGGTGTGTACCTAGCTGTTGCCTAATGCAACAAGCAACACAAAAATTAAAATCGATGGCGAGTGTGTTTTACTCTGTAATTTAGGAGTTACGGGCGGGCGCAGATGCAGGCATTCGTACATACACAAAAACACACATACATGCAAAAACATTATCGTCTTATTAAATCCGCTTCAACTACGTTTTCAACTTGCTTTTTTTATTTATATAAGAGGGGGCGAATGAGCATGCGGCTCACCTGATGGTAAGTAACCGCTACCCATGAACAATTCTAACACCAGGGGCCTTTAAAAAAGAGTAGGCTCTTTTCCTGAAGGTTTTGCTATACTCCACATATCGTTCGTGATATAAGGATCACATATTTTTAATATTTTAACAAATAGATTTTCAAGCACCAAAGTTTAATAATAACGAATTAGTATTTAAGTGCGAGAGAGATTGTTAAGTAAAGTACTTACCCGAGTTCTGCGCTACAGGAGCTGCGTACCCTTCAATACTAAACAGTAGTAACGTCAGGGCCAAATGCCACCACTTTGAGGTGAACATTGTGATTTGTATCTGAAAAGAATTAAAATTAAGAATTAGAGCCATTTTGTAATTCCATCCTATCATAAAACCTATGACTATTGTCACAACTTGTTTAAATAATTAAACAAGTTGTCAGGCGATATATACTATGTAAACTAATACTTGTCTAAATAGATTAATATACTAGCTTTCTTTACCCTTCGGTTCTATCTGGCCGCCAACAGCAACGAAGGAACTGCTATTTGGCGGCAGATATAGGCGAGAGGGTGGTGGGTATCTAGATGATTCCTTTTCCGATTAGGACTCCTACCACCTAGTAAAAATGACATATTATTACAAATTAATACAATGGTTCCCCCATTCCATCTTACTCCATTTCCATACGTGGTAGAGCCATGCTGCAGTTATATTAGTAGTATAGTTGTAGGAAGAATGGGCTTACTCGACTGGGGAATGACCACGCTCTCACAGAATACCAGCGTAAAATAGTAGCTTAATGCTGCTGTGTTTCGTATGGTGAGTGTAGAGAACCGGAGACCCTTTTTACTGGCAATTACGAGGCATTCCATCTTAGTCGTCACAGGTGACAACGCATCTGCATTTTGATTCAATCAGCGTGGACAGTGTGCTCGCTTGTCACCCTATCCTATAAAAAATACATTTCTGTAGGAGGTATTTTCGCGCGTATTTTCTATTTGTAACACTAACGATCTGCTCCGGCTTAGCACGGGTGATATCTGAATTCTACAACAGCGCCATCTACCGAATTCAACTATTCCTACAACCTACGCGGAAGTGTAGGCAATATGTTTACAGTTTTACCGCAAATTTGATGTACGGTATGGCAGCGCATAAAATACGAACAAACAAATATTATTTTTTATATATTAGACTATATCACAGAATAAATAATAGTATTACGTACAGAAGTTGCACTCCTTTGATTTCGACTGCTTGCCGACGTTTAATAGCCTACATTATTATTATTAATCAGATAAATCGCACACGCAAGCTAAATAAAACTTTATCGCTGCGCGCTAGTGTCCATATTACTTTGCATCTTTTTTTGTCACGGCTGACTTTCCGTGGTTATTAAGAGATGTCAATAGAAAGTAAAAAAATACATTGCGAAATGTTAATTATGTTACTTAGGTGAAGTAATAACTAACATTCTGACTATGATTGACTAACCATACCTTCGCCCATATGTGAGTTCTGCGATGCCTAAGGCATGCAAATTGCAAGGTCATTCGTCGGGAATCGTAACGCTTGGGAGAAATAGGTAGATAGAGTAAACAACAAATAAACCTGAAATACGATTTCTAACAGAAATGTGATCTATTCTATTTAGTCAAAAATCTTGTTAGTATACAAAGTTTTAACTTCAGTATTTTGTGTTATTATAACTCAAAATATTTTAATTACAAAAGACAGAAGATAGTGAAGTACATTTTAACTATATTTTGTAATGAAGTACTTAGGTATTTCTTCTGTAGACCAAATTATTACTTAATTCTTTTTTGCTGTGAGTGCCTATCTAACAAAAAAATTAAATAAATTCACCTTTCATAACTTCCTTCTAAAATTCTTCGGTAACTTAAAGAATGATATGAAACCTTTTGTTGGTCATTTCATTTAGCATCCATCTAAGCAACAGTTATAGTAGAAACGACGTTTTGCTATTATAATTTATTAAATAGGTAATATACATATTATATAATTTTTAAAATACATTAAAACTTTTAAAACTATTTCTACCTACAATTAAATATACTAAACATTAAACAAAAACTATTTCAACAAGTATTTACATATTATTTACTATTTACGTAAACAGCGTTAAAAAACTCTAACATTCAATTGCCTCCAACGCGCTAGCCCTGACTGCGTTATTTCGCCCGGGCGCGTCGCGATTTTAGGTAATTATTTCACGCAGCTAGCAAGAGTGATAGAGCCCTGACTATATTATTGTGTTTAATAAAAGCTAAAAACTATAGCTTCAGTTGCACGTGCAAAGGAAGTACTTCATAAAATGGCACAGTTAAAACAGGATGTACAGAATGTAGAGAGCAAATTGAATTTACGTCGACGGGGAATAGTGTGGAGGGAAAATCTGTCAGCGGCGCGGTCGGACGCGTGAAACCCTACAAGTGAAGCATCGTTTGAATTATCGATTGTGCTGATATTATGTACGCACTACATGTTTGTTCGAAAATAAGTTATATACCTAAATCAATTTTGTACTAATCCTTAGTATATTTATTAATTAAATACTATGATTAATGCCGAGTTTTAGTTTTACTGATTACAAGGTAGGGTTTGAGCACAATCCCACCTGGTGGTAAGCGGTGATGGAGCCTTTGATGGTGAATCGCACTGTCTTAGCGCCTATTCACTCTTGCCCTAAAGACACCCGGATTGTAACCGGACGAACAAACAGAAGTACTATCAAATTATTGCACTCTTTTGCATTATGCATTACGAGAGACTAATCAAAACTTTGACTTCGAATGTGTGGTATGTCAACAACAAAGGACTAGATACCCGTCGACCGTCTATATATCAAGAGACTGACTATATGTCATGACAAATGGTGGCGAAAGGTCATCCCCTTTTATTATAAACGAGGCATTCCATTTAAGTTTTCAGCGGTAACATCTCTCTTTATCGAACGACTCTTTATCGAAGACAGATACAGATGTGTATGTGCTGCAGCATCTATTTACCATCAGGAGGAATGTGCTCGTTTGTTACCCTTCTACAATAAAAAAGGAAAACGCTGTGTTGCATCGGCGTAAAAGAATCCACCACTTTATTTAAACCCGAAGAAATATCAACTCGTATGTAAAAGTAAAATAAATTTGGAGCCTATAGGTTATAGAGTGATTAGTCCGCCACACGACCCCCGAGTATTTTGGTGTGAATTTACTTGCAGGTTTCCTCGCAAAATTTGCTTCACCGCCGAGCCCCTGGTAAAATATCATTTAAATAGCAATTAAAGATTTTATTGGTGCTTGCGAGGATCGAACACGAGGTACTCGTGTTGCAAATTCACGGCGAGCGCCTACCCCGTGAGTTACTACGAATTTACATCATATATGCCAGATAATCAATACCCAGCCAGCAGTCAAAGGTGCAAGACATTTGATGCTGGGGGCAACAATCCGCTGTCTTAAAACTTAATATAAACTTGATAGAGCTATGCTGCAGCTACCTACCGAGAAAGGACCACGCTCTCACAGAATATCAGCGTAAAATAACAGCTCAATCCTGCTTTGTTACGTATGGCGAGTGTATAGAACCGGAGACCCGTTTTACTGAAAACCTAATTTTACCATACAAGTAAGGGTTACAAATGAGAACACAGTCCCCCTGACAGTATATGGATCTAATTCGTCATAATAATGTCCTCCTGACCGAATTTCGGCCACGGCGACCTGCCTCAACGGAGGCTAGCCATCGGCGCAGGACAGGATTATAGTGCCCAAGTGTATGCGCAAGCACAGGTGCACTCTCTATTCCCTCACTCTCTTAATCCGATGGGACGGTAAACCGACACGACCGGAGAGAGATCAGGCGTAGGACCAATGGCTTTACGTGCTTTCCGAGGCACGGGGGTGAGACACCGCCAACTTCCTGACTCCGGGCAACTACTGAGAATTTCTTGACGGAAAAACTCAATAATTAATTTTTTGGCCCGACCTGGGATTCAAACCCAGGACCTCATGATCAGCAGTCGCACTACTACAACCACTAGACCAACGAGGCGGTCAAAAATAATCTAATTCGTCATACACCTACAACAACCACCAATAACCACCAATAAAAATAGCTAACAACGTGCAGATATCACTCTTAATGATTAAAATGGAATTCCTTATTATCATTAAAAAGAATCTCCAATTTTTGCCCTCACTCAATTTACATAGGAATAATGTGACCAGATAATTCATCGAAAACCGAAAAATTTAAATTCTAGGTAAGATAAACTAATATCTTGTGTAAATTTTTTTAAGAAAATTTCATCCATCAATGAGCTGAATGGCACTCCTAGTCAATGTCGGGGGACGGGGGGTACACGGTTCAGAAGTTCAAACAGACGCGAGGAGCGAGGGGAGGGAAGAACTAGGTCACCAGAGCACCAGCACCCGCTAAAACCTACAAACACAAATCGGGAGCGCGTTTTAAAATCTATAAACGGGTTCCCAGCGATGCTGTAACTTTGTGCAATTAATTTAAATTTGTGTGTAATTATTCAGTATAGCTAAGCATTAATGTTAATATTAAAATTCCTTTCTCTTTTTTCAAATACCTATAACTTTTGTTTCAAAGGAAAAAAACAACTAATTAAAAGGTACAAGAAGCCTTTTCTCAGTTACGGTCATATCTTCTTTAACACATTAATTTGCAGTACCTGGATGACCGAGCTTTGCTCGGTATTTTTTTTGAGATCATATGATTTGGAAATTATATTTAGATACAAATTACATACTGATGAAATATAAATAATATTTTTGATCTTACTGACGTAATATAAAAATCTGAACCGGTTATTTGAATAAAAATCATGAGTGCAATTAGCTTAATTTAAATTTTCGTGTTTTAAAAAATACTAAAAAAGGGCTCGAAATAATAGATTTTCTCAAAAAAGAAGGGATCTTGAAAAAAAGGAAAAAAGTCGGACCAGATTACAGGATTCGAACCAGGGTACTACGAATTCGGGACGGCTCGACATCCCCATTAGAGCTATTATAGTCATTAAAGCACTTACAAAATTTACCTTCTTTTTGTAATGCTATTGTAAACGACATTTTCTAAAAATGAATCCCAGCTAGATCAATTTATTGCCCCCTAAACCCCCTGAACACTAAATTTTATTAATATCGTTGGAGCCGTTTACCAGATTCCGATTATATACATACACACACACACACACACACCTTTTTATATTATATTATATATATATCATTCAGTCAAGCATTCAATCACTTTTAAAGAAACAACTTTATATTAAAACT